GCGGGAAAGGTGTCAGATGGACCCTTGTGGTGAACGGGGACCCTGCCAGGGGTTTGTCCCGGTCATTCTTCTCCCCGACCTTCTTTTCCAGCCTTTCCAGCTTTGCCTCCATCTGCTGGACGCGGTCGTTTGGGATGGTTAACCGGTTCGCCACCGGTAACCTGGGCTGGCTTTCTGCCTCCCCTTCCTGGTGGGAGGCCCTCGTCCTCGCTGGCTCCTGCCGATTAGACCAGGAGCGCCGGGTGCGGGCAGGCTCGGCCTCCCGCTCCTCGCCTAGCCGGGCGAATGCACTAACGTGGGCAACACTCTGCCCCAGCCTCTGCTTGGCTGACTTCCTCTGGCCTTCCTCCCTATCCCCCAGCCTTTCGAAGGCGGAGTTTCGGGAGGTCGCTGGCCGGATGTTTTTTCCTTTTTTCTTCTTGTGGGCCCTCGGGATGTCCCACTCGCCGTCATCGCTCTCAATCGAGACGCAATGACCATTAGGAGTGACCTGTGGATCCGTAGCTTGCGGGGGACGCGACGGCCCTGCAGCGTTAAGTGCACCGGCCAAGTTGACCGGGGCCATGGTGCTGACCAGCTGGGGCTGGAAAGGTGATGGTTGCGGCATCGGCGTCTGGAACGACGTCACCGCCATCGGAGCTTGTAGAGGCATGGTCCCCTCGCCTGGAAGGGCGAATGGGAACATACCAAGGAGGAAAGGCATCCCCCCGTTCTGTTGGCACATGGCCATGACCTGGCCAAAGCCCTGGATGGCTTGTAGGTTGGCTGGGTCATTCATGAACTGAGCCATGCTTGGTGGGAACGTTACCCTCGGTCCAGCGGAAGGGACGAGGGTCACGAAGGGACTGATCACGCTGGCCGTCGGGACAGAGCTCAGACCCAGAGGCAACACCGGGGCTGAAATCACCGGTATGGTAGCAGCCACAGGGACGCTGGCTCCCTCGTTGGTGGCCTGCACCTGAGCGGAAGTAGCGTTGATTTGTTGGCTGGAAGACATTTCGAGTGGTGTTTTGGTGGGTAGGTTTGTGTTTAGGAGAAGAAACCTTAACGGTCCCACGGGTGGCGCCAAAAATGATGGTGTAAATTACTTGACCGGTCAAACTA